CTGCTGTTGGATAGAAATTGTTCTTGAGTCTGTTCGTTCTGGTCCTAACAGCCCTGAACCTTCTACCTGATGGTCCTAACAGCACTGAACCTTCTACCTGATGGTCCTAACACTCCTGAACCTTCTACATGATGGTCCTAACAGTCCTGAACCTTCTACCTGATGGTCCTAACAGTCCTGAACCTTCTACCTGATGGTCCTAACAGTCCTGAACCTTCTACCTGATGGTCCTAACAGTTCTGAACCTTCTACCTGATGGTCCTAACACTCCTGAACCTTCTACATGATGGTCCTAACAGTCCTGAACCTTCTACCTGATGGTCCTAACAGTCCTGAACCTTCTATCTGATGGTCCTAACAGTCCTGAACCTTCTACCTGATGGTCCTAACAGTCCTGAACCTTCTATCTGATGGTCCTGACAGTCCTGAACCTTCTACCTGAAGGTAGTTGGACGAACAAACTGTTCAACCTGTGGGTGTGATGGGTCTCTCTCTGTGTATGTGTCATGATCTACGGAGGCAACAGGTCCTATGCAAATCCTCCAGAGTGGGCAGAGGGAACCAACAATGTCCTGAGCCACACACTGCAATATTCTGCAGTGCGTGGTGGTCTAGACATTTACTTCAGGTTCTTTAAAATACACATCAGTCTAAACCAGTGTTCTTCAACCCTGGTCCTCAAGGGCCAGTGTCCTACATGTTTTAGATCAGTGGTGTACATAGTCAGTCCTCAAMGGCTGGTGTCCTGCATGTTTTCAGATCTGCTCTGGTTCAACACAGCTGAACCTAAGGAGTGATTAATTAGTAGGCCTTCTCACTAAGGTCTGCAGAGGCCTACTAATTAGGCACTCCTTAGGTTCAGCTGTGTTGAACCAGAGCAGATGTGAAAACATGCAGGACACCAGCCATTGAGGACTGACTTCAGACACCACTGTTTTAGATGTTTCCCTGTTTCCCTGCTACAGGCTTTTGATGAACTGCAATCACCTGAATCAGGTGTGTCAAAGCAGGGAMACCTCTAAAACCTGCAGGGCAGTGTGCCTTGAGGACCAGAGTTGAAAAACACTGCTCTAAACAGTGTTRTTATTGTTTCTGCAGTCATCCCGACATCTGGTAACTTTATACGTTGAGGACAGTTTGCTATTACACAATGTACAATACCAATAAAACTAACTGAATAACATGTTTATATGGAGGTCGACAAAAACACAGGTGTGTAGGGCCAAAACAATGAGTTACACGCTGCCCAGAGTTGTAAAGTAACTAAGTACAAATATTTTGTTACTGTTCTTAAGTAGAAATTTGGGTATTTGTACTTTACTTGAGTAATTATTTTTCAGCCTACTTTTTACTTCTACTCGTTACCAGGGTTGGGCAATATTGGCAAAAAAATTAATCACAATTAATTGTGGTATTTAGCCGATAGATTAATTTGACGAGTCCCTGGACGCCCTCATACCCTGGTCACATGACCAATTTAAAAATCACTCTAATGGAAAGTTTTGCTCTTCATAAAAAATCTGTTCCAAATCATGTCAAAAGTACAGACATCATGCTTTGAATCAATTTTTTAAATTGTGCTGATAGACCAAGTAAAAACTGAGTTATGATAAATAAATTACAGAACTTGTTTTTAATGTTTCTCATATTTGAAGCAGACTGACCAGGGAAATCTCCAGTCAGTCTGCCTGGTGGCATTAATTGTATTAATTGTCAAGTGCCAAAAAAATAATCGATCAATGTTTTTCTGACGATCAATTGCACATGATATGATTATGCTCGTTACATTTTTAAAAAAGACAAGAAGTATAAAGTTGTTTCTTTTATTTCATTTTTGCTTGTTTTCATTGCAGCTTGTTATTATAAAAAATAAAAACTATCCATATAAACTGAGCCTCCTAGATAGAGTGAATTTAACTGTGGTTGAATGAGAAGTATAAATATATAAAACTCTGATAGTGTATTAGTTTGTACACAAACAAATCA